GTTCACACGAAAGCATTGATTGAGGAAGTGCGTGAAAGGTGTAGAATGGAAGCGGACGAAAGGTTGTCACACAACTTTAAGGAGAACTCCAAACTCTTCTGGAAAGAGGTTGGAAGGACCCGAAGTGGTGCGACGGCCTTAAGAATGAACAAAGTGCTTTCGAAAACTAATGACGTCCTCTCAGAAAAATCGGACGTCATGCAGCAATGGAGCGAATTTTATAGAGAAATGTATGCGTGTGATGATCTTAAGTGAGGGATCCGGGGATGACGCCGTGACTGGTACGCCAGACCCAGACCTCGATGACACTGAGGTCATCAGTATGAAAGAGATTGAACGTGCGATTCGAAGTTTGAAATGTGGTAAGGCTGCGGGACTAGACAGAGTTACTGCTGAAATGGTCAAGTATGGTGGGCCTCGCGTCTGGGACAGCTTTCATCTGCTGTGCAATTTGAGCTGGCGGACGGGGGATGTCCCGGATGATTGGCGATCCGCAGTCATTGTGCCTTTATATTTTTTTTTTTTTTTTTTTTTTTTATAGGAGAGGGGGCAAACGAGCATGCGGCTCACCTGATGGTAAGTGACTACCGCCGCCCATGAACAACCGCAACACCAGGGGAATTGCAGATGCGTTGCCGGCCTTTTAAAAAGGAGTAGGCTCTTTTCTTGAAGGTCCCTAAGTCGTATCGGTCCGGAAAAATCGCTGATGGTAATCGATTCCACAAGGAAGTCGTGCGAGGAAGAAAACATCTTCTAAATCGCACAGTGGTGGAACGCCAATCATCCAGATGGTGTGGATGGTATCGGGAGTTCTGCCGCGATGTGCGTTCATGAAATTTGGCGGCTGGGATTAATCCGAACAATTCCTCAGAGCACTCCCCATGGTAGATGCGAAAGAAAATGCAAAGAGATGCAACATCTCTTCGCAGTGCCAATGAATCGAGCCGATCGGAAAGGGCTCGGTCGTCGACGATTCGAGCCGCTCTGCGCTGGATGCGGTCAAGTGGAAGGAGCTGGCACTGGGGAGCCCCTGCCCAGAGATGGGAACAGTATTCCATGTGAGGCCGAACCTGCGCCTTGTAAAGTTGCAGGCGGTGTGCCGGCATGAAATACTGTCCCGCTCTGCTGAGCACGCCAAGCTTTTTAGAGGCCAATTTGGCCTTCTCTTCCAAGTGACCACGAAACTGCACGTCACTCGATATGTCGACTCCGAGGATACCGATACTGGCTGAGGCAAGAAGGGGAGTGCCTTGAAACTGAGGAGATACGACAAAGGGGTTCTTTTTAGCGGTAAACGCGCAAACTTGTGTCTTCTGAGGATTAAACTGTACTAGATTTAGTCGCCCCCAATCCGAGACTTTGTCCAGCAAAGACTCGACTTCAGACACAAGTTTGTTCCGGTACTCGGCGACGTTTTCCCGAGAAATATTGGCCCGGCCGGTGTATAGAGCATCACCAGTGCTGTCATCCGCATAGCAATGAATGTTACCAGTTAGCAACATATCATTGATATGCAGAAGAAACAGCGTTGGTGATAGCACACAGCCTTGTGGAACACCAGCGTTAATAGGCTTGTAGTCAGAACATGCACCGTCTACAGCGACCTTGATGCTCCGATCTGCAAGGAAGCTGGTGATCCAATTGCACAATTTCTCGGGAAGCCCATAGGAAGGGAGCTTCGAAAGAAGCGCTTTGTGCCAAACCCGATCGAAGGCCTTCGCAATGTCCAGACTAACGGCCAACGCCTCCCCCTTGGACTCTACTGCCTCCGCCCATCTATGGGTCAGGTAGACTAGAAGATCACCAGCTGATCGACCCCGACGAAAACCGTATTGGCGGTCACTGATCAGCTGGTGATCCTCAAGGTACCGGATGAGCTGGCAGTTAATAATGGATTCCATTATTTTGGAGAACAAGGAGGTGATCGCGATAGGCCTATAGTTGGACGGGTCTGAGCGGTCGCCTTTTTTAGGGATCGGGTGGACAAAGATAAAGGTTCACATTTTGACTGCGGCTGCTATCGGGCGATCAGTTTGACCAGTTTAGCAAGTAAAGTTTACTCGAAGGTTTTGACACGTAGGATGCAAGAGAAATCGGAAGATTTCTATGGGAGGCACAATGCGGATTTAGACCTGGAAGAGGATGCACGGATCAAATGTTTTCTCTCCGCATGATCACGGAGAAGCTTCTGGCTGCTAACCAGAAGATTTTCTGTGCTTTTGTGGATCTTGAGAAAGCATTTGATAAGGTTGTAAGGAAGAAAATGTGGGAACTGTTGCCGGGGTATGGCGTGAAAGGTCGATTGCTAAGGGCTGTGCAGTCTCGTAACTGTGACTGTAAAGCCTGTGTGCGGGTAGGGCATGACCTGTCATCCATGTTTAGCGTCCAAACGGGCGTAAAACAGGGTTGTGTCATGTCTTCCTGGCTGTTCATACTGCTGTTTGGGTGTGAAATTGGGTGACATAAAAGTAAATTGTCTGCTGTATGCTGATGATACAGTGCTTATTGCACCATCAGAGGCAGAACTGCAGGCTTTAGTCACGTGTATGAAAGAGGAATGTGAAATTAAAGGTCTCCGTTAGAATGCTAATAAAACTAAGGTTCTGGTATTTGAAAGGGACGAAGAGAGAACGAAGTGTGAAATATAGGTAAATCAGGAATGTCTAGAACAGGTAAATGAAATTGTATACTTGGGGAGTGCTTTTAGCCGGGATGGAAGATGTGATTTAGATGTGGACAGACGTGTCGCTGCCGGGAACAAAGTCAATGGTGCCCTGACTGCGTTAGTCAAAAGGCAAGGCGTAGTGCAGAGTGCACACCTTGCAATACATAACGCAGTGTTGGTACCGACTTTGTTATATGGCAGCGAAACCTGGGTATGCCAGAAGAAGCATAAAAGCAAGTTGAATGCAGTGGAGATGCGATCTCTTCGTAAAATGTGCGGCATTACCATGGCCGACCGAAAGAGAAACGAAGATATTCTCAATATGGCAGGTTTGAAAGATGACCTTATCACAAAAATTGTGAAGATTTTGCCATAGTTGCCACACTCGGCATCAGGCAGCATAGTTGCCACACTTGGCAATGCATTTTTTTTATTATTTTGGGGTTTAATCAGAAAAAAAACAGCCAAGTGCGAGTTGGACTTGCGCACCAAGTGTTCCAAACAAATCCGTAGGTATATAAGTTTAAGATTATAAAAAATATTTTTGTTATATGATGTAACTAAAAATTTATGCTTTTCGCAATTTTTTCTTTATCTGTGCTATAATAAGTTGCTGTGTACAAAATTTTAAAATTCTGAGTTCACGGGAAGTACCCTGTAGGTTTTGATACCCTTGCGAATGTCAAAAATTTGCAGCATAAACGGCTGTATCTTTTGATTGCGTTAGCTTAGAAGTTTAACTTTTTCATAGGGACAGTAGACTTGAGTATTTGATATGAACTTCAGCTTGATAACTCCATGCGTTCCTGAGAAAAAGGGTCTTGACAGACAGACAGACAGACAGACAGACAGACAGACAGACAGACAGACAGACAGACAGAAGGACAGCAGTGATCCTATAAGGGTTCCGTTTTTTCTTTTTGAGATACAGAACCCTAAAAATGACTCTTCTCATCTCCTGTTTCAATTATTCTCTGTCACCTTTTACGACACCCAAAGGATGATAATATGGAATAGTGTAGTAGATTCTTTGATGGTCTTTCTACATGACACACAAATATTTTATACACACATATTTTTGTTTCAATATTTTTAACCGACTTCAAAAAGGAAGATGCACTAAATTCAACTGTATGTTTTTTTCATGTGTGTTACCTCATAACTTTTTAATGTTTTTTCTAGGGCTGATTTTGATGATTATTTTTGTATTTGAATGCTGGTACTTCTCATGTGGCCCCATATGAATTTGATCAGGATTTGACCAGTAGTTTTTGAGTTACCCTTACTAATGCCCGTTTAATTGACTTTGACTACATTTTATTTATATTGAAGTCGGTTGTATAAAATTTTTAATAATACTGCTTTTATATTTTATATCTAATTTTACAATAATGTTTATAGTATGAACAAACATTTTCATTTGTATAAAGCAACAACTTAGTGATTATATATAATTATACAATTCAATAAATAGTATGGTATGTACCATTATACAAGCAATTATTCATGTCTTATCACTATATAAAATTACAATACACATTAAAATTAATAACAGAGAGAAGATTTAAAATTAATCATCGCTTATTTATGCCATAATTCTCTAAAGAAAAAAATCTAAAGTCCAATGTTCCATTTGGAGATAACCAGAAAGTTTAATCAGATGAGTCAATAAAACCGCGTCCATTAAATGAAACGCCGATTTTTAAATCTTTGTAAACGGTTACACGACGTATAAATTGTTAATTGGTTTGAAATCTCAGACCGAATCATCGATAGCAATCAAATCGTTTTCAACTTTGTAAATTGTACTCCCGTTGTGTACCTACTGGTCAAGGTATTAACCAACCAAAAGAAGTAGGCACCATTTTGCGTTTTTTCCGTACCTATTAATGGTTCATTTTATTTTGACGTATAATATGGCCATCCGCGCCCTGAGCGGTGACATCACCTCTATTGAGCCAGATAACGAGTAAATGATTTGAAGTCACGCCCAAATAAATATCTTATAAGTTAATATAAATTGAAAACATTTGTTACTATTAATTCATTTAGTATATCAAACATAAGAAATACGTATATAATGAGAAAAAAAACAAGCGTTTATTAAAAGTAGAAAAAATAAACGTTAAAATAGTTGCAAAGCAGCGCACCGTCAGAAATAAGGCGTCTCAATGCGTGCTGGACTAAAAAAAAACGACCCAATTAGATCTATGAACGAATGAGACACACCCAAACCCAGAATGCACAAAATGCTTTTGAAACGCAAAATAATGTGGTCTTAATATGACTATTAACATATTTAGGCATTAACGGAATATCTGAAAGAAATACTTACCGGCAGGCGGCTCCTGACAAAAAATTATAGGTACGGGTTTTTCTGTCACCAAAGTATCACTTCACTTAGAATCGAGTAGCTGTTTTATCTCACACTAAGCACATAAACAGCATAACATATCGTTAATATAACACGCACAGAACGTATCCTAAACGTTTAATGCACTAGCACCACATACATTACGCTTAATCTCTTTAATTCTTTTACGTTCGTAAAAAGTGAAAAAGAAGTCCGTCTACTCACGACACCTCTGTAAATCGATGTCAAAGTTTCGCTTTTAGGCCGCAAATCGTAATGGCGCTAAAATGATAACCAACGATTATTTCTTTTTCAAACCAGATGGCGCAAATGTGCTTAAAGCTGCCATATTCAATAGATGAACCTACTAACCTACCAATATAGTAAAAGCACCATAAATGTGTAAAAAACGTATTGAAAACTATACAACAGGGTAGTTAAAATGGTACAATTCACTTTGAGGGTGTCACGAGAAGTGACTTTACCAATATAATTACATGGTCTACGATAGTCGGTGAAATTACCATGTCGTATAATATATCACATGTAAAATACGAGATGTCTATTACAAATCGTACCAACCCAAAGATATTATAATATACTTCGTATAAAACTACTTATTTAGTAACTAGTTACTATAAAATATCTTTGTACCAACCACGAAGGAGAGGTAAGTATTTTTAGTACCATTAAACTTTTTAATGGCTTATAATGAAGAAGGAAAAAAAATTCTTAAAAATTCTATGTGAACAATGTGGCTTTACCTATCCACACTACGCTACCCGTATTCAAGGCACGCCATACTTTTGAATTAACTTTTCCAGAAACTTTGCAATGCGAACAAAAATAATATTATATTATAATATTTAGGGCTATTTAATTAATCATCAAATAAAAGTTGTTATTAGGATAAAATACGACATAAAGAAATAAAAAGTTACACTGGTTTGGGTTCGATTTTGTGGTAATAGCATTACAAGCTGCTTTTTAACTTAATTGGGCCATTCTCATTTTTGCAAATTTTACCTATTTACAATTAATCGAAGTAGGTTATATTAACAGGATTTTTATTAAAATTTAAATAACATAAATATTTTTTTAATCGTCATCAAGAAAGTGACGAAAATATCATCTCCATGTCGTGTGCAAAATTAATTTATGATACTAATACATATCAATAATTTTTTTTTTATAGCAGAGGGGGCAAACGAGCATGCGGCTCACCTGATGGTAAGTGACTACCGCCGCCCATGAACAACCGCAACACCAGGGGAATTGCAGATGCGTTGCCGGCCTTTTAAAAAGGAGTAGGCTCTTTTCTTGAAGGTCCCTAAGTCGTATCGGTCCGGAAAAATCGCTGGTGGCAAACTATTCCACAAGGAAGTTGTGCGAGGAAGAAAACATCTTCTAAATCGCACAGTGGTGGACCGCCAATCATCCAGATGGTGTGGATGGTATCGAGAGTTCTGCCGCGATGTGCGTTCGTGAAATTTGGCGGCTGGGATTAATCCGAACAATTCCTCAGAGCACTCCCCATGGTAAATGCGAAAGAAAATGCTAAGAGATGCAACATCTCTTCGCAGTGCCAATGAGTCGAGCCGATCGGAAAGGACTCGGTCGTCGACGATTCGAGCCGCTCTGCGCTGGATGCGGTCAAGTGGAAGAAGCTGGCACTGGGGAGCCCCAGCCCAGAGATGGGAACAGTATTCCATGTGAGGCCGAACCTGCGCCTTGTAAAGTTGCAGGCGTTGAGCCGGCATGAAATACTGTCCCGCTCTGCTGAGCACGCCAAGCTTTTTAGAGGCCAATTTGGCCTTCTCTTCCAAGTGACCACGAAACTGCACGCTACTCGATATGTCGACGCCGAGGATTCCGATACTGGCTGAGGCAACAAGGGGAGTACCTTGAAACTGAGGAGATACGACAAAGGGGTTCTTTTTAGCTGTAAACGCGCAAACTTGTGTCTTCTGAGGATTAAACTGGACTAGATTTAGTCGCCCCCAATCCGAGACTTTGTCCAGCAAAGACTCGACTTCAGACACAAGCTTGTTCCGGTACTCAGTGACGTTTTCCCGAGAAATATTGGCACGGCCGGTGTATAGAGCATCACCAGTGCTGTCATCCGCATAGCAATGAATGCTACCGGCTTGCAACATATCATTGATATGCAGAAGAAACAGCGTTGGTGATAGCACGCAGCCTTGTGGAACACCAGCGTCAATAGGCTTGTAGTCGGAGCATGCACCGTCTACAACGACCTTGATGCTCCGATCTGCAAGAAAGCTGGTGATCCAATTGCATAATTTCTCGGGAAGCCCACAGGAAGGGAGCTTCGAAAGAAGCGCTTTGTGCCAAACCCGATCGAAGGCCTTCGCAATGTCCAGACTAACGGCCAACGCCTCCCCCTTGGACTCTACTGCCTCCGCCCATCTATGGGTCAGGTAGACCAGAAGATCACCAGCTGATCGACCCCGACGAAAACCGTATTGGCGGTCACTAATCAGCTGGTGATCCTCAAGGTACCGGATGAGCTGGCAGTTAATAATGGATTCCATTATTTTGGAGAACAAGGAGGTGATCGCGATAGGCCTATAGTTGGACGGGTCTGAGCGGTCGCCTTTTTTAGGGATTGGGTGGACAAAAGCTGTCTTCCATGAACTCGGGACTACGCCTTGGGAGTAGGAGTACCGGAAAAGACGCGTTAGGACCGGTGCCAACTCCGGAGCACACGTCCTCAGCACAATTGGGGGGATTCCGTCAGGCCCACTCGACTTGTAGATGTCAAGGGAGAGGAGTGCTCTGCGAACCGAGCGCTGTGAGAACCGCACATCCGGCATGGAGCACTCACACCGCGGGATTGTCGGCGGTGTGTTCCCCCCGTCATCAACAGTCGAGTTGGACGCAAAAAGGGAGCCTAAAAGGTCGGCCTTCTCTTTTGCGTCGTGGGCCAGTGAGTCGTCCTCCCTGTGCAGAGATGGTAGTGATGGCTTACAGAAATTCCCTTGGACAGCCTTGGCGAGAGACCAGAATGCACGGGTTCCCGAAGGAAGGCGAACTAGTTTCTCGCCAATTCTGCCTATGTGCTCTGACTTTGCCTTGGCAATAACTCTTTTGAAGGACCTGGAGGCGAAGTTATACTTCTTTTTGAGTGTGCTGGTGTTTACATCCCGAGTCACTGAAGCCGCAGCCCAGGCTTGATAACACTCCTGCTTACTGCGTAATGCAGTCTTACAGGAGCGACCAAACCAAGGCTGAGATCTGCCTCCGATGGGTACCACAGATGATGGAATAAATAGTTCCATTCCCTGTAGCACCACATCAGTGACAGAGTCAGCAACAGCGCTGGGATCATCCGGCGAGAAGCAAACCCGCCCCCATGGGTAGGAAGCAAAGAAAGACCGCATTCCGTCCCAATCCGCCGACCTGTAATGCCAAACACGGCGGCAACCTGCAGAACGCAACCGCGAGGGGAGCGTGAGTGGCACCACACTCCGGATCAGACAATGGTCCGAAGAGCCAAGAGGGGCATCGACGGAAACCTGATATCCGTCCGGATGAGAGGTCAGCAGAAGGTCCAACAGGGAAGGTGTATGATCCTCAACATCTGGAATCCGCGTAGGCGATGTAACCAGTTGTGTCAGACCATATGCCAAGGCAAAGTCATAAACAGATCTCCCCGCATGATCGGTTAAACGTGAACCGAGCCATTCGGCGTGGTGGGCGTTAAAATCGCCAAGGATCACGATCTCTGCGGATGGGACCTGTTGTAGCAAGGAATCTGTAGCCATTTGGACGTGGTCGATGAGTCGGTCTGTTTCGGCATTACCGCTATGGGACCTATAGAGGCACGCGTAGACGCGCGGATGGTCGTCGCTGTCTACGCGTAGCCAAAGGATGGACAGGTCCGAACCTTCAAGACTGCCGAGGCGTCGAGAACAGATGTCCTCTCTGACATACACGCAAACTCCAGCCCGAGGCACAAAGGAGTGCTCCAATTTGTACCCCGGGTAGGAGAGATACGAAGTATCAGCCGGAGAGGACAGCTGCGTCTCGGTCAGAAAGAGCAAGGCCGGCTTCGCCGTCTCAAGATGGTAGTGGACGGCGTTTAGGTTCGAGTGAAGTCCCCTGATGTTGCAGAAATTCACGGATAGCGTGGCAGGGGTCGCCTTGGTCTTGTTGCTCAGTTTGCCCCGAGCAGTTATTGTGTTGAGCGGAATTTTGCCCCCCCCAGAATACGCGGGGCAGCCTGAGCACCCACGCTCAGGAGTGGAATAGCATGGTCGTGGATGCTCAGCGAGGGATTCTCCAGGGGTACTGGTACCCTCCTGGGGTAGTTCATGACGTAATTCCGCTACCATGTTGATGGGGGGGGGGGGATTGGGCCTCCGGTCACCTGCACTCACCAGACGAAACGCGGAAGCAGAGCTTCCACTTCACGCCGGTATTCTGTGAGGTCGTGGTACTAACCCGGCTCGAGCCGGCCCATACGTGCAACAGCAAAAGCTGCTGCAAGGCTCTACCACCGTTAAGTATTACTAATAAGTTAATAAATTAATTATTTCATATTTTTTTACAATAAAACATGGAATAATCTTTCTAAATAAAAATTATCACCTCCATGGATAAACTTACTAAACGCAGCTACAATTCAATAAATCAGTAAATACAGTTTCTGAAAAATACAGACAACAAATACAATGTTTGACAGTTTGTCCATGCTGGGATAATAATTTTGGAGTAAATAGGTCTTTACGTAAGATTTAAACGTTTAAAGTTAGATTTTTGTAAATTTTGTAAATTAGCATGCTATTTCAGTCACTTTTGTGGATTACTTATCACGAGGTATTAATTTAAGTAAGGTCTATTGGATATAGTAAAATCATGGGCCACTATAGCCGTTATATTGGTATTTCGTCATTTTTAGTAATAAGCATTTGAGATTATGAAAAAACGGTATCTAAGTTTAAAATCTCTCTTCCATGGATGTCACCTACGTGGATTACAGTTATCCACGGAGGTGACTCTATAGGTCCATGGATGTGACAATACTGTGATCTCTCTTTAGTAATTTAAAAATTATCAATGTGAATTATTATAATATGTAAATATTTCTCGATCCAGGGTAATTATAGCTCTAAAAATCAGGAACAGATCAATCGCAAGACAAAAGAATGGAAGAGGCAACGTCAGAAAAAACAAAGTCCAATCCACAGTTGTACTAACAGGCTAAAGCTATAGAAAGAGAAC